AAAGAAAAGAAAAAAAAAAAAAAAAAGAAAAGAAAAGAAAAGAGAAAAAGAAAAGAAAAAAAGAAAAAGAAAAAGAAAAAAAGAAAACGACTTTAGGTCAAAAATTACAAAGCAAAACAAGAAAATGTAAATAAGAAGAGAATCCGAAGAAATATTTCCCCTTGAAAGCCCAATTTACTACAAAATCTAATTTATCAGGGGGGAAACATTTAGCTAATTGGCTTGTAATAATATAAAACTTCACAGAAACGACCTTGAAAACTTTTAATTAAATACAGTATGTTTTTTAATACCCATTGTGTTAGTTTAAGCACGATTTAGTGTTTTCTTACATAGGGGTCTATGAATAACTATTGCTTCCGGTCACAGTTAGTCTCCAAAGTCTTCCTCATATCAGCAGATTGTCCTAATAAAAATACGAATAGACTCAAAAATGAACGCTAGGCAAACCCATGCTAAAGATTTTGCGTACAAAAAAATAATATAAATAACGAAAAAATTAATTTTGCAGAATTTAATGTATATTTTTAGTCAGATAATTGCATTTATTGAAGCACTTTTGTCTAAAACGTGTCTTAGCTAGTTCCATTGAGAAAGAGGTCGCGAGGTCAAGTTGAAATTTCTTTGTCATTCGAGAGAAATATTTAAAACAAAAAGCAGACTATCACGTCTAGTATTTCTTTTAAGAATCTTTCAAGAAAAATACAATTAAATCAGCGGAGAAAGCAAATGACGTTGACGTCCTTTACAAGAAAATATTCCTGAATAAGGGTTAAAGGGATTGCGCCCATTCTTTATCAAACAGCTATCTTCTTATGAACCCTTTTCTTGTGAACAGCTTTTTTGCTACGAAATAAAAATCAGATTAAAAAACTATTGACTTGTATCGATATCAATTTGTAAAGTAGTTCAGTTTTAGAATTTCAAGAGATTATATATGAATCCTGACTAAAGATTGAATATCTGTATGTAAAATATTGTAATGTGTTTACTTGTATCTTGTCTCTGGCCGAGCTTGTTTGGATTTCGTATCTGTCCTCGGACTGTGTTAAGCCGTTAAATAAATAAAAATTAAAAATATTTTCAAAAGTCATTTAATATATATATATATATATATATATATTTCTTTAATCCGGTTGGTTTGATTGTCTTAGTCGCGGGGGACACGGAAAACAAACGGCCCAGCAGAGGTCATTGCCAACGAGACGTTATCCGAGAGAAGTACGATGTTCGCAATTGGTTTATATGCATATCCAAAACTGGCAATATCGTGACAAAAATACGTGAATATGAACTACGACATATTCAAAGTTCAGTGAAGAAGAAAAATAATTGTACTGTGTATCTTAATGAGGGTGTGTAACATGACCGGAACTAGGTTTTGTAGTGTTCAAAGGTCATACCCTGAATTAGGAAGGAAGTAAATTCTTGGGCATTTTAGATCTGCAGGAGAGTTGACATTTGATTCGTCGGACGAAAAAATGATGAAATAAAACTCCTTGGTGGAAAATTGTAATGTGTTTGCATTTATGAAAATAAAAAGATTTAAAAGACAGCCATCTATGCTACTATTACTAAATACGCAGTGGAATGTGCTGAAAAAGGATAAATGTACGGAAAAAGCGGATGTCGACGGTCCAGAAGGATAGGAAAAATGTATTATGACATTTTGAAAAGAATAAATGTTCGACTGCCTTGAGTTTACTGAGTAAGCAATGTCACGACAGGCAGCCCAATGTTCCTGCGTATGGTTTATAAGGGAATATATGGGAGTTATGATGAAGATATGACAATAAAATGTTTCACTCAACAATTTGCTTCAAAACTTTCTGCAGTCGTTGCTTGTACCTTGTTCGGTCTTCTGGAAAAGTTTTCGGCGCCTTTTGAGGCCGTTTTGTGTTTTTCTTCTATTTCATTTCAACGGAGAGAGCAATGAAGGAAGAAAAATTCCAAAAGCAAGATTGAAAATTAAAAATTTAAAGGCCACAATATCACTCTGCACTTTTAGACCTCTTAGCATGTCTTGATCCTTCCCATAAACAAGTCATTCATTGAACAGATGACAAATTTTACAAGCATTAAGAAAATACTCACAAGTTCCTTTGAAATAATTCTCCAGGATAAAAGCTTCAAAAGTGACTTCTTTTGCATCCCAGGAGCCCATGTTTCTTTAAACAATTTGGAATCCAAGTTTGGCGCAGGCTGTTGGTTGTTTGGCATCAAATAACCCTTAATTGCTTGATTTGGCAAGAGGATCTCCGGGCTGGTCGGCTTGATTGGTCATACGCGACTTGCAGAAATGCAATACTTATCCATTAGTATTATTAGTAACACTGCTAATTGTAACACTAATTGTAACACTACTAATTGTAACACTACTATAAACAATGAAGTTTTGATTCAAGGTCTAGCTGGGGAGGCTATTTCGACACGTCTGGAGGGAGGAGAGTTTGAAATTTAAAACTCTTTCTCACTAGGAACGAACAATCCAGGGCAAATCTTAAGTCTCTCTCACAGAATTTTGGTACAAAATTGTATTGAGAGGTTGTACTATTTTTTCATAGGATGGGCGAGTCAAAGCTCGTTTTTCGCGAATCACAGACAAGGAAGTAAATGCAAAGCACGCCGCTTGGAAAAGTGCCCTAGTAATGATGGCTTCCTGGGAGCAGGGCAGGAAATCCTTGCGACGTGTCCGGACAGAAGAGGAAATGTAACAACGGATTTGATTTTGTCTTTCAGCACTGGCGGCTGGACTAGAAAAACAGGCGTTTTATCTCTCTTAGATGTTGTTTTTTATTACATTATAACAGCGCGTGATTTTCATCTTGTAGTTTGAAATTTGCAGACAGCACAGCTTAATGAAAAAAAGATTTCAAAGATTGTTGAAAGTCTTTGCGCTGTAGAAGATGCATGATATCATTATCATATCTTCATTAAGCATAGAATCCTATCGTTGGTCAAGATTATTGGCTTAAATTAATTCGTCTTAAGTTGGTGAAATGTTTTCCCATTTCAGACCACGTGTAATTTCAAGAGTACCATTTCTTTGTTTAACGGATAAGACACAAGGATATATGGATACAACTCAAACAAAGAATCCTATTCTCAAGGGAGTGACACGTGGTCTGAAATGAGGAAACATTGCACCAAGGCAAATTAGGTCTGTTGCACGAAGTAGCCATCCCATAGCCTTAAGATTGGAATAGTTTAACCCGATTCTTAGCCCCAGCTCTTGTGAATGTGTGCACTGATATTTAACCCTCCCATACCTTAAACACGGGCTATTCTACCTTTGCCATGTGCTCCAATTGTCATAACCCTCCTATGAATCCCTATAGCTAAGCATTGAATGTTCTACTCAAGGTTTTACCATCCACATTATAGTCTACCCATGACCAGTTCAGAATAAGTTGTTTAAGTTGTATCCACATTCATGTGTCTTCTCATGTGCAATTGTTAAACAAAGAAATGATACTCTAGGGAATGACACGTGAACTGAAATGGAAAAACAATCTGTCCGTGGTAAAAATATTTGTTTAGATGTCGTTCCGTACATGCTTGTTTGATTTCTCTGCTGAGTATAAAGATTTAAAAAGAATGGTAACAACGAAAAATGTGACCTTCATTGTCGGATCGGATATTGAACTCTTCGTTAAAGTAAGAAAGGTAAAAAGAGATTTCCTTACCGGAATCGGTATTGGGGGATCCAAAATAAAAGCTTGGAGTATAAAATACTTTTCTTATTACGAGGAGCGCAAAAAATGCAAGACATAGCCAAACAATTTCTTCTCACTACTTCCGCCATTAGTATGAGTGGCGAGGAAGAAATAAGGAAACATCAAAACGACGGTATCCTCAGTCAAAGTAGCAGTGTACCTTAGTATTGTTTTCCTTTATTTCAGACCACATGTCATTCCCTAAAGTATTATTTCTTTGTTTAACAGTTGTGCGCGCATGAAAAGACACATGGATTTAGATAGAACTCAGAAAGAGAATCCCATTCTCAAGGAAAATGACACATATTAGGCAGATTAAGATCCCCGTTTTTACTTCCCGCAAACGGCAAACGTGACCACGTTTTCATCGTTTCCCTACATTTCACTTTACCTTTTGCAAACCTTCTCGACAAAGACAAGTATTCTTTTGTTTATCTACTACTTGGAGATTTTTGCGATTCCTTTTCACTAATTTTAAAGAATGTTTTAATGGTGAACTGACGTTTCACGTTTGTCTGCGTAAAATGGGGAAAATATTACGTCCAAGATGAAAAGGCCTATCGTGTTACAGCTTAGAACATATGAGCAGCTTGCCTCACCCATTTTCCTGGCTCAAAAACTAATGACACTCACGCGCCCTTCACAAACCTGTACTAAAAGATGGCTTCAATGTATGCTATTTCCAGATTAGGAAGAGAAAAAGATTAAAACATTAAAAGAATCTGAAGTGCGGCGGATGTATTCCAAAAGAGCTCTTGAGCTTGGTTGTAATTGTCATTCTCTTGAGAATGAGATTCTTTGTTCGAGTTGTCTCAATACTCATGTGTCTTCTCATGCAAAACCGTTAAACAAAGAAATGATTCTCTAGGGAATAACCCGCAATCTGCATTAAGCATTAGGTCCAAGCTAAAGTGGAGATCAGTCTATCGAAGTCAAAGGGTAGTTTTTTGAAATTCACAGCACTTTCGATTGTGAGAGATCTTCGAATAGAATGTTTTGGGGGTATCCTCAATTATTATTACATCGAAGGAATTTGGATTGTTATATTCCAGTTTGAAAGTAGAGGATATATAGTTCTTATAGTTTAAAGCACTTTTAGTTGTAGAAAATCCCCAAATAATGATTTTCTGTAATCAGATAACTCTTGCATAATGCATATTTCTGATTAGAACCTAATATTTCACATATAATTATTTTGAAATTTACTCTTAAGAATTCGAAATTATTCAGCTTTGCATTTAGTCCATGAGATCTATATCTGTTCTACAAGACCTGATATAAAGGAGTATTTTGGACAGATATACCTGTACGAGTAAACCAGAGTAGCTTTACAGACTCATTATGTGAGATATATATGTAGAACAAATGAATGTTTAAAAGAGCATGAAGAAATTAAATCTTTATATCTTTTTTATTTCTTTTTTGACCTTGCAAGATCAATGAAATTATCTTTATATTAGTCATCTCACAATTTTAAATACCACAATTTTAGTTTTAAGACAAAATTTAACAATTATAGAATATATTTCCCCTTAAATATATATTGGCATGTGTTTTTAGAATCAATTTTAGGAGAATTACATAAACACTATAAACTTGTTATGAATAGGACACATATAGTAATACCTTGCTTTATGTATTTAAAACTAGCTTCTTTAAATAAATTGTCGATTTTATTTTAAAAACTGAATGAGTTTTAAGATTTTGTAACGATAAAGTACAGAAAATATCAAAACCACAACCTACTTCAAAGGAAACTCAGTCTAAAATGTCATTGGACAAGTTGAAACTTTGCTTCATGATGGTTTCAAGAACTAGATTTGCTGAGAATAAGCTTTTCATATGTTAAATGGAATTGCTTAAAAACAAAGTATATCTACTCAAAATCATATAGAGAATAAATGAGTATGTGTAAAGGAAAGTGTCGATCTTTTTTTGACAGTTATAATTCAATGATAAACAAACAAGTCAAAGCGTGAATTGAAGAACAACAACTTCAGGAACTTGTTATATACTTACGAAACAAAACTCTACTATTAGAGTAAATATTTAAGAAAATCCTAGAGTCAAAAGGTCTGTGAAGAAGTTTTCTTTGTTTCAAAAGAAAAAAAAAAAAAAAAAAAAATGGAATCTTATTTTTAAAATGTAGTGTAGAATTCCAAGAAAATAGAATATCCCCTTTCTTGGAATTATTAAATAACCATGATATTGATATATAAATAATACAAATACAAAGATACTTACCATTTTTATTTTTATCTTTGTTGGAAGACATCATTTAATGAGTTCCACTTGCAATTTTCGTGAAGAATTTTCAGTTGCTCTTGACCGGTTTTCAGACCAAAATTTATTCCCATAGAATTAAAAATTCCAGTTTGAAATTCCAAAATTTATTTTTAATAGTTTTTATGTAGCAAGAATACATTTACCATTCATGCATGAAGCATGGCTTTGGAAGTACAATTTTCAAAAAAAATATAGTTAAATAAATCTTGGCATACTTTTAGGACTTCCTCCCCTGACTTCAAAATGACTTCCGTTGGAAACTCGTAGAAACTATTTGTTTCTTTAATTAAGTGAATGAACCAATCAGAATCCAGTATGTATCAGAGTTTAAGAGTGTTACATTGCTTTTAGCATGGCAGGAAGATATGGTTGGATTTCCCCAGCAACTCTGAACTGAAACCGCTTCGATATAGAATTATATGAATATTACTTGTACTAATAAAAATGAAAAATGAATAAAATAAAATAAATAAATRAATAAATTCTCCAGCTTCAACTTGAGTCACCGTCGATTAAGCTTAGCTTATGTGTGGATTAAAAATTTCATTTAAATATTCGTTTATTAAGGTTGATTAACATACTGTTCGATATAGATTTGTGCATGTGTTGCAGGGGGAGGGGTAAGTAAGTCATTTAATTTATGGGTAAAATATCAAAGAATTTCCCCCACGTATTCAAGTTTGAGTGTCAAAAACTCTTTAATTTGGGCCTAATATTTCCCCATTACAAAACACGTGTGCTTCCCTAGAGTATCCTAGTTTGTTTAACAGTTGCACAGAAGATGCATCTTGAATATGGATACAACTTAAACAAAGAATCTTATTCTCAAGAGAATGACAGCTGATCTGAATACGAAAATATTTCGCCAAAGGTAAATGGGTCTATTCACAAAATAATAATATTTTAATATTTTAAGATAACAAAAGCAGTTAATTATGAAAAAAAAATTAAACAAAAAAAGATCAGTAGATTAGCGTGAGGCCCCGTCCGCACTATGCCGGATAAATTTGAATCCGAATTTTTATTTATTCGGTTAGGCCTTCCGTCCACACTAGCAGGGCGAACCCAGAACAATTCTTCACCGAAAAAGATTTTTTTCGAATACGGTCTCCAGAGTGGAACAATTTGAAAACGCCGGCTAGCCGTATTAGTGTGGACGGAGAACATTTCGTATCCTAATTTTTTCGAATACGATGACCTCATGATTGTCATGGGAACATTGCGGGAAGGCTAAAAATTCACCAGATTTAAAAGAAAACTATGATACCAGTTGATAATATACTTATTCAGAGGTAAAGACTTAATTTTCTTAGATAGAATGTTATGCTTAACTGTGGACACGAAACATTTTATCTGTTTTCATGTGTGGACGGAAAACTTTTTTTTCAGTTTCAGTGTGAAAGTTGCGGATTCAAATTTATCCGGCATAGTGTGGACGGGGCCTGATTGTCGAAGTAGAAACGAACTTTCTAGTTTCCTCGCGAAAATAGTAAGATCATAGATGCTAATCAACTGAACAAAAGAAAGTTTGCAGGTTATTCTTGTGGTCACTAGTTATTGAAGCCATAATGCAAATAAATATAAATCTGATATCTAAGCTAAGTTTGTTATTTTTGTAGCAAGGTGAGCCCCTGACCCAGACTGTTGACTCGTTTATCAATTTACATTTTATTTGAATCATAGAATTCAAAACAACTTTGTTATAAGCGCTTTCTAGAGATCGTAAACATATTACATACTTGTTTAAATACTTTTGCCTGAAAAATTACAAAGATGAGACCGACAAGGATTATGGGTAAATACATTATACATATGTCAACCGCTTGATAACTGTTGATGGACTTGCACATCTTTCACCAGTTACAGTCTCACCTCTTCTGAGCATCCTCAAGCTGCAGTTTGTATCAAAAAAACTTTACTTGATTAATATGAAAAATTCCTCAGTGATCTGAGCTTCTAGGTTTTTGGTGACTAACTTTATCGAAACAGGTATAGCGATACTGACTCGGTATATCATTTGCTGTTTGCGGCCGTACAGCTTATACAGGGTCTATGTTGTGAAATGTTCGTTCAAATCACTACTCTAGATATATGGCTTAATTTGAATAATAGAAGATAATATCCATTCATGTTGTGCGGTTTATCATCGGTTAATACTCATTTTTACAGCTCCGTTCAGTGACCACGAATAATAGTTCCAATTCGAGGTCTGATCGAGTTGCCGCGATTAACAAAACTTTATTTTATCATGCGCGGCAACCCAATCTCGACTTGCGCGAACTATTATTCGCGTGGGGCTGAGGCGGATAGAGAAGGGGAGAATGTCCCTCCCCTCCCCTCCCCTACCTTGCAAGGTATTTTGGTACCTAAGTTCTGAAGAGGTTGCCATAATTTTTTCGAATGGCCTTCACGGCACATAAATGACGTTCTCTCGTCAAAAAACACCAAAAGCAATATTCAGCATGGTATACATGATTAAAGAATGAAAACGCAGGAGGATCCAGGTACCTCTCCCCTCCATGCCAGTGAATGACGTATTTCGCGAAGCTCCACGGAATGGATTAAGTCCTAAAGTCAGTATCTCCGAAAAGGACGAATTCCAGTAATGAATGTAACTATCTGATTCAGGGTTTGCTATACAACGTGTTTGTGTATACAAATAGTCACTACAGTCTGTTACTCAGAATAGAGAGCATTCCAAGGAGCCTACGAGGAAGGAAGGGGTGCTTCTGGCAACGACCAGTCGCTAACCAGGACCATTGTCTTGGCCTTGTCTAAATTGAATACGCCCTTGAGGGCCAGATAGTGTACTTAACTTCAGGCACTCAAATGGATACGCCCTCGATGGGAGATCAGGGGGGAAAATTTTCGGTACCAACTACTTTGACCAATAAAATGGGGTCCCTAGTCCAGGCCACATTTGAGCATGTCAAACGGACTCACTCTTGTTGTCAGCGATAGTTGTTCAAGAACTGAATAGCTTCTACGTCTTTCTTATAGACAGCTGAAGAAAAACCAAATGTAGCTTCTGACTGCGAATACCCATTACTTGAACAGGAAGGTTTTCTAAACAAACAAATGTTCAACGATTTTCTAGCAGTCCTGAAATCTTGCTTCAGGAAGGTATAAAGAATAGGATTGAATATCCCAGTGCTCAGTCTAAGGAAGAGTAGAATTACATTGGCCCATAACGGGTACGATGGTGGCCCATTGTCCGAGAGATCTTCCTGTAGAGATAAAAGAAAGTAGTTGAACCATCCAGTGATGTACAGAACGATCATAGCAGCGTATATGAGAAGAGCACGTCTTTCTTTCCATTCATGTTTGAGCTTTGATTCTTCGCTAATGTACCTAATGCTACGCTTGATCTTGTTTATTTGCCTTCTCAAGACGCAAAAGATGTGCGTGTAAGCCAAAGCCATGAGAATTAAAGGTGTAAAAACAAGCAACCCTAAGACAATGAGGTCATAAATTATCGTTATTCTGTGTTTGAGGTCCTCATTCTCAGACCTGATCCACAACAGCTGGACAAGTGAAACAGCGAGCGAAAAAACCCACAACATGAACAAGATACGAAGGGACGCGACATTACTAAGAGATGAGTTTGACTTCGACTTGGAAAAGACGATGGTGTAGTAACGCTCCATTGTGATGACGAGAAGATGAAGAATAGTTGATATGGCCAAGAATCGGTTTCCCAAATCCATAGCAAGGCAAACATCATAGTTATATCTGGGATAATTACAGGTTATTATTAAGGGTATTACATATAGTCCGGTTAGCATGTCCGAAAGAGCTAGACTTCCGAGGCAGAAATTGGTGACAGTGCGTAGAAGACGGTTTCGAAAGATGAGAAAGATGACCAGTGCGTTGATAACCACTACGAGAATTCCTTCCAGCACGAGAAACACCATAACTATTGCTAAATTGAATTCTGGAGGAGGAAAACTAGAATTGTTACTTGAAATATTCATAGTATCTTTGCAAAAGTATTTCAAAATTGAACGATGACACACTGAGATGCGGTGATGTTCTAGGCAAGTGACGTCTCTTTCGTTGCTTGAGCTTCTTTGATCTAAAGCACACTTTGGCGTTTTCCTTTATTTGTGTTGAAATTAAATATATGGAAATATATATAGCCCGAAGGTGTTATTCATCAGTTGAATATGGCACTGTCTTCAAGTTAGTAGTCAAATCTTCAGCGATCTGCACTTAGCTGATAAGAATGACCAAAATTATGTCGACCGGTGGCACAACCGTATAATACAACCAAAATGGCAATAATTATCGCACTGAAATTAAATAATAAACAAATAAATACTAGTTAATAAGCATAAATAATAAAATATGTTAAACGACTCTCTCATCGTGTCATTTTACCTGCCTTTTGAGTCTTCTATTAATTAATTATTTATTTATTTATTTATTTTTATTGCTTATACTTAAATATTCATGGATTTTAAAAAAGGTTGTTTAAAATGAATACGTTGACGTCGGAACAATGACAGACGTGAGTTTAAAATGCTAATTTCCTTTCTAGAAAAAAAGTTAAAAAACACTATTAACCCATTTTCAAGATATACTTTGCCGGTTGTCGTGTAAAACAATTAGAGAGCTTAAGATTCTCGTTTACGGCAAACGTGAAACGTCAGTTGACCATTAAAAAAATTCTTTAGAATTGGGGAAAATGAACACGCAAAAATCTCCAAGTAGTAGATAAACAAAAGAATATACTTGTCTTTATCGAGAAGGTTTGCAAAAGGTAAAGTAAAATGTAGGGAAACGATGAAAACATGGTCACGTTTGCCGTTTGCGGGAAGGAAAAACGGGGATCTTAATCTGCCTAATATCAGTACAGGGCTACATGTGACACTAAAGAAATACGTTTGCGCATGCGTGCCTTTCACCTTTTCTAAGAATTTTGAAGAGTTTTAATAGTGAGAAAATAAATGTTTGTTTTCTCAGAGCATACAAAGAATTTCGCGAATATACTTTTGTGTGTTGGTGAAGACAAGCATTTGCACCAAGTTTTGGATCCATTTGTCAGGCATTTTTGAAAGTTAAACATTTTTACAATAAATAAACTTTTCTCCAGTCACGAATCACTAAGCATTAATCACGTATCCTCATATTAAAAACTTTGTGAGTGAAAAGCAATGCATATTTCGAAAGCGTAAAATTAGCAGCAGGAAATGTTTACCACCCACCATATAAACTGATAACATGCGACTTTATATAAAGATAAAACATCGACTTCTTCAGTCCAACCCTTATGAAGATACCACATGTCGAAATAAAATATGGCATAAATAAGACTGAGTCGGTCATGAATATTCTGAGCTCCAGCTTTGAAATTTATGGGTCTATTATGCAAATATTTTCCGCATTCTATTCACTTCAGTCACGTTTCTTTATTAAACTTTTAGGGAAGTTTGGTAAAGTGTTTTGAAAATAAATAAGATGGATATGTCAGCGAAAGGAGATTGCATGGATAAACATATTAACTATGCTTGGAGCATGATGGATAGATGGAATGGATAATGTATTATAGAGAAAATGTTTGCGGATGTCGTTTGAATTTGTTTTAGAGCGAATTAAAAATATTGCCTTGATTGAATTTACGCTTTGACTTTTGTATCTTTATTTCTGAAGAAAGTTTGAATATGAACTTAATTGGCGTGTTTTTATAATAGCACGAAGACGTCTCTAGCTAACTTATATACAGACTACGCGTGAGTCTGAGATGGATAGATGGAGGGAGAGAGGGAGGGAGGGAGGG